GTTCAGACAGAACTTCCTGTGCTTCAGTTTGTGCCCCTTGCCCCTTGTCCTGTCACTGGGCACCACTGAAAAGAGTCTGGCCCCATCCTCCTGACACCCACCCTTGAGATATTTATAAGCATTTGTAAGGTCCCCTCTCAGCCTTCTCTTCTTCAGGCTGAACAAGTCCAGCTCCCTCAGCCTCTCCTCGTAGGACAGATGCTCCAGTCCCCTCATCATCCTCGTAGCCCTCCACTGGACTCTCTCTCCAGTAGTTCCTCATCTGTCTTGAAGTGGGGCGCCCAGAACAGGACACAGTACTCCAGATGGGGCCTCGCTAGGGCAGAGTAGAGGGGGAGGAGAACCTCCCTCGACCTGCTGGCCACACTCCTCTTGATGCACCCCGGGATCCCATTAGCTTTCTTGGCAGCCAGGGCACACTACTGGCTCATGGTCAACCTGTCATCCACCAGGACACCCAGGTCCGTCCCTCTCCACAGAGCTGCACTCCAGCAAGTCCGCCCCAAGCCTGTACTAGTGCCTGGGGTTGTTCCTCCACAGGTGCAGGACGTTGCACTTGCCCTTGCTGAACCTCATCAGGTTCCTCTCTGCCCATCTCTCCAGCCTGTCCAGGTCTCGCTGAATAGCAGCATAGCCTGCTAGTGTATCCACCACTCCTCCCAGCTTTGTGTCATCAGCAAACTTGCATCCTGAGCAGCAAAGCAGAAACATAGCCGCACTTTTTCTTAACAGGTGACAGCCACATTCTTCATGAGTCTCTCTGCAGAGGCTGAGAGAAACCACCCCACGCACTACCTGCAGGCACACTGGCATCCTTCTCGGACACAGACAACAGTGCCTTAAGGATGCTTTTTGCAGGAGCTAGGAATAATTCTGTCTGCTTGTTTATACCCTTAATTTCTTGGGGCTGATGCTGAAAAAGTTTTAAGATCATCAGCATTCTAGAGAAAGGAAAATTATTCACGACTGCAAGACAACTAGTATGGAAGAAAAGCTGCTTGCAGTCTGCCTTACACCGTGGAGCAAAAAAGTCTGTAAGTACAGCTCTCAAACAGCTGACATTGTATGAAAGGGCAACTTTCTATTTCTAACAGCAGCAGTAACCAAATTTCTTCATTCCCGGGAAGAGTGAGAGAGGATAAAAACAAGTGACCATGTCCATTTTTCTGAAAAACGGCATGTTTGCTGGGATAAGATGAAAATACCACAGACTCACAGCACAGTGTTGGAGATCAGAGGAAGAATACCGGACCAGGACAACTCCTTGCTAGTTTGTCTCTTAGGCTTCTTTCAACAAACATGCTTTTTACCCTACTCTTTACTCCAGAGAGGCACATTATCTAAAAAAGACATCCTTAGTCACCTGAAATACAGTCAGGGTAGCCCCTGTTTATCACAAATTGGATAGACTCACCAAATGACTGACTGTCTATCATAAACTGGGTACACCTACTTAATCAATAAAACACACAATGAGGAGCTCTACCAACTTAAGAGCATAAACTGAATGGTAAGACAAAGCCAAAATAATGCAGAAATCAAAACGAATTAATACAGTTAATACATATTTCAGACATGGGAAGAACATATTCTTGAAAAAAACACTGCCTAGATATACGAAATATTTACTGTTCTTGAAGGTGATTTAGTAGGAGGACAACTTCTCTCATTTTCAGGCAACAGGCCTCAAGCTTGCCTTGCCTTTTATGGAGTTCATAATTTCAGGTAGAATATTGCAACTGCCTCATCAAAGGTTCAGAACTACCTAGACAGATTAATTCTTTCTCTGTCACCCGAGTATCTCAAATCCAGCTGTCCCTCCACAGTTAATGTAAACAAAATCAGATTGTCTGCGCCTGACATTACACTTCAAAACCTCACAACCAGTATGCATAAATACCCTACTTAAGTACATTTTAAAACAACAATCCTGATATTTTGTAACCACATCTCCACAAAATGGTAAAGATACTGAGACACAACAATTAACTTTTTTTTTTTTTTTAGCAAAGTAATTTGCAAATTTGGAATACACTTTGGAATAATTTCAGTTATTAACAAAATACAGCAATGTCAAGTTGAAAAAACATCAGCCTATTTAACATCACTCACCAAAATAAACAATAGCATAAGACAGCAGATGGAAACTATCTCAACCAATTCAAGCTAGAGAGAGGAATTTAGATAAGCTTAATGCAATTACTCACTGGAATTTAGCCAAGACACTGAAATGAGCCTATCTATTCTCTTTAGAAGTGCAAGGGAGTTTGGGGGCTTAGTTTCAAGCCTTTAGAAGCATGAAGCAACACATACAATCATGCTTCATCTCTGTGTGTAACTCAACACCCAAAGTTTCCAAAAGCCTGAATGTCAGCAATTCTCAGAAACTGTTACGTTAACTTAATAAACACTGGTTTCTCTGCAAAAGCACTGCCCTCTTAGCAAATGCTATAGCCTCTGAGCACTTACAAAGGATTTGAGTCACAGTAAAAGAAGTGACCCTTTAGTATTTCTCAGGGCTGAGTTCTTCTTCCATGGCCCTCTTTGGAGATGCCTGAGGCAAGTGACGACCCAGCTCATCCTGTTCAGCTGTTCAGAACTGATGGAAGCAAAAGTGTTGCCTTGATGGAGCCAAACACCTGCTGTTTGAAAATTTAAAAACTTACGTCACTAAAGGCAGGCAACGTATTTCTGCTCTTATATTAAATATTAGGACTGGAGTTCTTGCAGAAACCTCTAAGTGTTATACTCAGTTCCCTCCTTAACATCCTTACCTTATCTTTTTACCTTTTCTGCACTGATTTCTTCATCCTTACTTTTACTAGCGTTACTCTCCAAACAGAATCCAGCATTATGCAAAATTATATTCGGAAAATAGTGCCTCCCCAAGAACACAGAACAGCTATAAAATATAGTACACCTGTCTCACAAGGCACACTCCAGAATTCTGTAATTTGTTTCCTGCAATTAGACTACAGGTACCTCGAAACAGCCAGAGGAACAACATATCTTTCTGTGGCTTCTATGGAACGCCTAGTATTTATTTAAGATCCCTTCCTTTAAACGTCACTTCCTCCACGCTCAGGAGCGGTGCATCCCCCTGAGAAAGAAATCTAGCAAAGGAGGCAGGGGACCTGCATGGTTGAACAAGGAGCTTCTAGCGGA